TTTTACGCATGTACGAAAAAACCCGTAGTAATAATTTTATTGAATTAATACTACAGGTTTGAATCCACATCATTATAATTTAAGCCTGTGGAGATTAACTTCGAGAAAATGACACAGCCTCCCTTACTGTCAAAGTCTGTCACTAACTTTAAGCCGTGGAACGACGGAAATCAAACTACGGTAGATACTGTTCAAAACCCGACTCTGACTTATATTTCTGTGAAAAAACTGCAGGACATATGGAAATTTCAAGTTTGAAAAATAACATTGCGGTATAATTTAACTCGACTAGAGTTCAGCTTTCCGTGTGTTCTGATTTCAAATCTACACCAAGGAGTATGTTAGAATTTCTAAAGATGATTGGCTAGTAAGTAAATAATCGTGAAAATGAAAAAAACTAGACAAGTAACAGATATAAACACACTTCGCATTTTGAAAATGTATGACTTTCACGATATCTTCGGCGTCGTGGCGTATTTTGCCTTAAATGGGAACAATATCAATTTTTTGAGCTTGTAAACCAAAGAATCATTACAATTAATATACATTTTAAATTTTTTAAGAAATATCAATATGGGATTCTTAGGTCTTTCTTTTCTTTCTTGTTCCATCATCAATAATTTAGAAACGACTAATGAAAATTGTGCAATACGATTGATAAATAGTTTTTTAGCACGTATCATATGGTGTCAATTAATATAGGATTGTAAGATCATCAAGTCAAAATAGCATTTCTGTAATTTACATTTTGGAAGTTTTTTGCGTTTAAAATTATTATCGATAGTTTGGAAACAATTGGGCATAAAATCAAATTATATCATACCGAAAATTGATACTTCTTAATTAAATAGCTCCAAGGCGCAAAAAATGTAAACGTCGCTCGAAAACTGTGGGTTTGTCATTTTAGTTGCAACGAATTAGTAGGTATTTTAACTTAGTGTCTCTTTTGTGGCAACACATTACCTTGTAATGTGATATTGTATTCTGACGCTCCGCGCCCCTTATCCTTTTCAGTGCCGTGCAGTACTGTTCAACGCCAGAAGCTAGCGTTTGCTCCACTGTCTTGTGCATGTCCTTTTGCACTTATTAATAAATCTACCGCTAGTATTAATAAACGCATAAGGATTAATTATGGTCGAAATTCGACCATAATTAATGAAACATTTAAGTAATGTGTAATGTCTTCTGTTATTGATTTAATGCATAATTGTAGTATTATTATTAGTAGTAGTATTTTGATACATAATTTTTAAAAAATATTACCATTTTGCACTCTTTCCCTATATAAACTATAATTGTGGGATATTTCACACTCCTCGGTCCACGCAATTTTCGTAAAAAAGGGGTACAGTTTTTGCTGCACGTATTAATATGTATAGTTTATAGTAGCGTGAATTTATCTCATCTCCTCGTCAATCTCTGACTTACTGCCACGCCGACGGCGAGACACTGGAAAGTTGATACGTTTGATATGTTAAACCTAAGCGGGCCCCTTGATCAAATAAAAAAACCAGACAAAGCACTTAAACCGCATTGCATCGGCGGCGTTTTGAGCAATTAACTCGCTACATCCCTCGCGTGGGAGGGGGCGCTGCGGTCGTGGAAACCGTACCCCCGTTAAAACAAGCCAGCGTTATCATCATTCTGTTTACATTAAATTCTATCTACGTATACTGAAGGAAATGGGGTTAATCTTCAGTTTAATTAGGGAACTACAGTTAATAAATCAATTTACTTACTAAGTTGTTTATCCAAACGATTAATTTATCTATTAACTAACCGTAAACGCGGGCTTTCTGAGAAGTTCTCCACCGGAGACCTCTTACAGCAGAATAAAGCTAGCGATTTAAATAATCTTCAATGGTGGCTGTTTCTCTTCTATTTTAAACGACAGTTCGTTCTGGATACAGCATGAATCTTCCATTCAAACAGATGGACGTGGCGGTGTAATCGTAAGTGACAAACTACCTTAGATTCCGTGCACAAAAATGCTTAATATCTTATTCCACATTCTCATTTTATTCGTGTACTAAAAGCGAGAGTACTACTAACACGATTTTTTTTTTATAGGAATAGTTGGAAAGCGAGCAGACGCCTATGGACAACTTTACAGATTGCCTATGAATCTCTACAAACACATTAGCCTTCTAGGGGACCATAGCACAAACCCGCCTACCCACCAATGGCCGCTAGCCATTTACGTAGCAGAAGCAGCAACTGCGTGAGCAGAAATTTGGGGAAGGTTTATTCATTTTAAACAGCGCAAAAACTTTTAAACGCAAATTAGCTGATGCCTGATGAAAAATAAACCAATGCAATGAGGCCCAATACATTGCCCTAACTTCTTTAAACGGGTAGAGACTGCTGTCCTTGTTACATCGAAGGTAAATAAAATATATAGAAATATTGAAAGAGAGCGATAGCCTAAGATTTGCTTAAACTCACGTCATTTACCAAAGCAGCGTAGGTGTGTTCCTAAAATGCCCTCGTACCACTGAGCTTCCAGAATCTTAATTGATAGGTGGACCACGGCACATAAATGTGAGACGATGATTTTTGCAAGTAAATAATTCCAACGCCAAGAAAATACGTCCAAACGCCTCCATTGCACCAAGTGGCCGGAAGTAAAAAAATAAACCGAACAAAGTTTCAGTGAGCTAATATTTTTATTTTGCATCTGGCTTTATTAACAAACCCTCCAAGAAATGTATTTTTCGCAGCGAGTTGCCAAGGACGCGTTCTGCATTACCTCGTCGAATTGTTATACTTCCGGGGAAAAAAGAAACTACTCTTGTCACGGGCCGCAAAAAAGCTTGTGAGTTTTAATTCCGAATGTTTCGAAAACTACAGAGACAATAGTAAACGAATGAATTGTATTAATGTGAATGATATAACATTTAAATTCAAATTCAAACTATCTTTACTTAAATAAACGTTTGCGCGATCTTATGAAACGATGAATTTTACATTAAAAATAATATAATATGTAAGTTCGTAATGTACCAACCGGTTCGGAAAGTAGTTTCCGTTGAAAAGAGCAAGAAAGTCAAGAGTTGGTCTTTTTAAAAAAATATCAGTTTACAATATAACATACAGTACAGGTATATAGTCTTATTTTCGCCTACGTGAGTATCGACAGTATTAACTCCACACATTGGCGTCGTCGAGATATTCTGAAACGGTATAATATGCTTTAATCATAAGTTTACTTTTAATTTTACGTTTAAATTGACAAACTTAATACAGGCTGTGAGATTTTATTATACATGCGCACACTTTGCCCCATGAACGACCTATTTAGTTTTTGTAGACGAAACAAAGGCGTAGTTAATTTGTCCTTATTTCTAGTGTTTATGTCTGTCACAATTCTTTACGTAATAATTAAGATTATGACGAATATACAAAATATTGACTGAGCAAGAATAAACACAAGATGTCAGAGGTCTGAAATATTTAACCTAACAACAGTTTTCGATTTCAGCCGAAACTGAAAGGCGAAAATAACATTTTGGCTAAAAATCGTCTTACATTTTCTATACATTTCTATACAAAACCCGCCTCGATTATTCCGATAACACACATCCTGCATCAAATTAATTTTAAAAAAAAGTACGCCAACAGACATCCGCATTGGCCACGTAGCACAGCCCATTAGAGAAAAACAAAGCCGGGTTCAGCGACCCTTTGACAGAGTTTACCTTTGGCGGGAACTGACATTGCCACTAAAGCAAACAACCGCGCTAATGCAAACGACACCCCCGATCGTCGGCATCGCAAACGCGGCCCGGGCAAAGCGAAACGTTTAGCGCGGTGTTGCCACGTTGTGTATACACTAGCTAGCTAAGGGAGGAAATCAATAAGAACGATCTAAACTACGTGTGAAGTAATAAAAAATAAGCTGTTCAGACATTAATAATAAATGACATAAGATTTTGGAACTGGAAAATAGAAGTAGAAAAAAAATTGTTGTAATCCACGTGAATAAATTGACAACTTGATGACTATGTGGCGCAGGTGCCAAGGTATTTGCTTGTCGGGGGTCGTGAGTTCGTTTCCCACACGGGACAACTATTTGTGGGACCCACAGATAGTTGTCTCGCATCTGGGTGTTTGTCCGTGTGTAATTTATGCTTGTAAAACGTCCTTACAACACAGGATAATGTTATCCTAAAGTAAGAGCAATGTTTAAAAAAAAAGGAAGAAGACAAAGAACTATTCTCGTGGAAAACTTGGTGTTATTTATACTTTTTTTATTTATGTGAAAATTTGGCACAACAGAGCAGGCGGTTCACCTGGACCCATCGACTACAATACCTGAGGCGTTGCAGATGCCATGGCCAACCTTTAAAAGTAGGCCCCATTACCTCACTGACTTGTTCCCTTACCATGTCTCAGCTTTGCTACAAAAAATTAAATGTAATTTTTTTAATTCCACACTTAAAATCTAACATCTCTAGTTTTCAAATATTTCAGTGTAAAATATTATATGAAAGTGGTCGTTTACTGTAAAGGAAACGGAGAAACTCGGCTTCAAATCGTCACAGCGGTGAAAAGCTTTTCGCCGAATTTTCTACAAATTTTAAATGTCATCTTATTGCAGAAAATAGCACTACAAAAATAAATTTCATTTATATGAGCTAGGTTCGCGATACTTTCCGATCGATTACAATTATTTAACTATTTGAACAAAACAATGTCCTTGCCAGACAATATTTACTGACATATATCCTCGCTTTTCCTACTTTAAATAACTTTATGTACTCTTATTGTTTGCGTAAGATTAAATTAATAAAAAATAATTCATGCATCCAACGCACACTGTTCACCCACAGTAAATATGATTTCTTGAGAAGGCAAAAATTGCAAATATATGTCACCGAGAAGAGGTGGCGATATAAATGTGTAAGACTACGCGTATTTAGAGTTGATATTGAAGACGAAAGCAGAAATGCTTTCTGGATACGTTAAATTAAATTAAAATTTTTAATTTTAAGTCGCTACACGCAAACTGTGACGTAATCGCTCGTCAATGGCAACACTGGAGGTACGCGGCCGCTGCAGTGGCGGAGTGACGTCAGCGCAATCAATGGACTGACGTCGGACCGCTGCCACCCCATCCCCGCCAGGGGTGGCACTATCGGCCCGGGCACGTCTTTGAGCCGAAATCTTATTCATAAAGATCCACAGGGTTTAAGCATATTTACGGGGAACGTTGCGCGGGGCTTATAGGCTTAAATAGGCAACGAGGTGCGACGCTGACGTGATACCGGAGAGCAAAACCAAATCCACTGTCACGTTGCAAAGCACAATTATCGGCGAAGACCTGGACTTCTGGAAGACTGGAAAAAGGAGGAGGTTCCTCAGAACCTTCGACTGATTGAACCAATTTTGGTTTCTCATGTGGTCTCGTATTATTTTTATTGGTATTGGACCTTGGGCTCCAGAGATACTTGGGGAACTATAAAATGAATACAGTGCGAGATATTTGAAATCCAGTTTTGTTTTTCGTTAATAAAATAATGGACTTGTAATGGATAAAATAAGACACGCTGCGGCTGAACTCATTCACTTGTTAACTTACCAGCTAACGTAAATGTTGGAAGGTATAAGCTAGTAGGCGGTTCACCTGAAGTGCCGCCTCACATGGACATCTACAAACCCAGTGTGGTTGCTTAGCATTAAAATAGTGGGCCTTGGTTACCTCACTAACCAGACGAAAAGCAAAAGTAAATAGCAGGGCATCAGTTGTGCGAGCTTCTGTGGTACTTCGTTTAAATCATAAAAAGACATCAATATGCATTGAACCAGTAACATTAATTTCTCAACTTGCCAAAAAGAAAAACGATTTTAATTCTAGTTAAACGTTAAAAGACTTCTCCGAATGTCTTTAGCGTACGTCATTTATTTGTTTCAGCCTGTTTTTAATTAATGTTCGCACGTATTATTTTTTTTAATTATTGGTCTCGTAAAATCGAAAGGTCGAATACTAGTAAAAGTGTGTTTTATTCAAATATTTCCGTACTCAGAATTTACAATAATAGTATGTGTGACTGAAGGCTCATGACCAAACGAAATAAAAAAAAAACCTTACGAATGTTTTTACAGATGATCCTAAATCGCTGAATAAGGCCTGCCTCATGTAACAGTTGAATTTTTAAAGCTGCTATTAGAGGTAAAAGGGGCCCCTAGGAACAGCCCAAAGTAAAAGTAATAGAGGCACTTTTCATGAGCCGCATCGATTCGTGGAGTTAGTGACGTAAGTATGACGTCAGTTACAATTCTCCGACGCCCCCACACATTCCAACATCAGTCGGTAACTTTAGAATTTTTCAAATCGACCATTTCACGAATAACTCCATGACATCTGAATGCGTATAAAACTGGAGTTTTAAGCCGTATATCACATACATTCGAAAATAATATGCTTAGTCAAAAGCTTTTAGCGCGTTTGTAGTAGTCGGATTTCCCCTTATAACGTTGAGAAAATAAAGCATTTGTCGATTATTTACCGAAAACATTATTAATTGTTACAATCCACTGGCAACACTGCTTAATATACGAGCAATAACAATAATTATACTTAATAAACATTGAACCATATCTGGTATAATATTATGTAATAAACCATGCTTAATAATAATTTAATAGGTCAATCTTATTAACTGTATTAGTAATTTAATAAATGCATTGATTTGTAAGGTAGTTGTGATGACTCATTATATTTTTGTATATAAGCGCATATTGTTTCAGTGATAGGGTAGAACACTCTTATCCTTTGTATAGGACGTTACTCTGTCCTAATAAGTAGGAAGTAGTTTAATTAATATATAAAGTTGTTTACGCTATCCTCACTATTTTATTTTGGCCGAACAACCTACAGTCTTTAATATAATGCATATATTTTTCGGAAATATCCGCATTAATCAGAACCGTAAAACGTATCTCTGCATTTACGTAAAAGCAATCCATCCCTGAAATTATTGTCATTTGGATGCATTACGACGCACACCGGTATGCGAAGAGGCAGAATTATTTGATGGAATCTTCATAAAAATAGTTAATTACAAATGTTTGTACGTTTCGTCCTCATTGCAGGAAGATGGTGAAGAATTTATTAAAACTATTAGTCTACCTTGAAATTCAGCATAATAATTGTATCCAATAACGTATTTGTCGCTTGTAACTAGCTATTCCATGCGATTTCAGCCGCGAGAAATATTTCTGCTTCGCCCTAATAGCGTGATATTGAGTAGTACCTTATAATAATATTATCACCTTATAGCAAATTATCTCTTCTCAACAGAAACTGCTTTCCGAACCGGTGGTACCTTACGAACCTATATACATAATCTTTGATGTAAAATTTGACGATTCATAAGAGCGCGCAAGCGTCGTTTTGAATAAATATATTTTTGATTTTGATTTTGATTTTGAACATTCCTCAAGAATTCAATGAAAGAAGAAGAAGAATGCAAGAAGATTTTTTCAAATCCTAATGGTATTCCCGGAGATTAGCACGTTCAAACAAACAAACTCTTCTTAGCTTTCTTACAATTAGTCTAAGTATAGATTTAAAAAGTTGTTTAATTATTCAATGGATATAAATAAAAATACACACATATCATCAGAATTCGTGTCTGTACTTCTTAGTTTAACATAGGGAAGTTAAAATGGGCCTAAATTGAGAAACTTCGACTTTGCCGTCAATATCGCGATAAACCGCGAAGAGGGTTACACTGTTCGTTCAACAAAGCGCGTCTCCTGCACCTAACATCGCGAACCGAAAGACAATATGGCACTTTGCGCTCACTGTATGCCAAATTAGAATGGGATGAGACTACAATCCAATAGCATCAGAATCATCTTTATATCTCTTCAAAATACGAGTTACAGTAAATAGAGAGCCATTGTAAGATATTTTTAAAAGGGCAAGAAATCTATTTTCGGGGGAATATTGTTGCGAATAAAGTATTACAACATTAAAAATCACCACATTTTTTCATATATAAAACGTATAGCTTTTTTATATTCACATTTAGAAAAGTTTAAAACTGATGCAGAAATTTTTTAATTGCGCAGACCTGACATATCATTGAGTTTTTAAAGAAATGCATATTTGTATACTGCAAAAATCCTTATGCAGATTGCTAGTATCTGATTTTATAATAGCAAAATTTGGATATTGTATCGATTTGAGGCTACAAAAATAACTCAAACACAAAAAAATGTTTAGGCCGCACAATCAAAAAGGATAGCAGACTTCTAGTCTAAACTGGTATCAATGTAAATAAATCATGTGTAACTTTGGCGCGCAAACGTGACAAGCTAGTGCAACACACGCGCAGGTCTCGGGCCAATTAAACAATCAGGGACGCTTCCACCATACACACAGCGCATGGAAGTCTGAATTATATAAGCCGTTGAAAGCGACGCGTGCGGAGGGGCGCCCTAAAATAAAGGAGTGTATCGAACGCAGCCGTCTCTTTCAGACGGGCGACTGTCCCGCTTGCGCGGGGACCCCCTCCCTGTCTCCGACTAGGGTGCCTATAAAAAAAGAAACCTCGGACGACGATATCACAGCGGATGTCAAAAAACGATCGACCGGAAGTTTAGTACGCTGCGTTCTGTTTTAATCACATTTTTAAAATAGATACACGCAATTTTTTGACATTATTAAATTTGTTTTTGACATTTATTCAGATTTATTTTTAATACCAGTCTTTGGAATTTATGTGAAACTTACAATCAGTAGGTGTATGCTAAAAATGCAAAACAAAGTATAGACGTGGAGATTTTCGCGAGGTGACGATATCGACCGCTTAGCTTAGTGGTTAGAGCATCTCGGCACGTTACTCGGTAAGCGCAGATTCGACTTCTGGCAAACGTACAAAATATATTTCAACAATTTATACACTTTTTAATTAAATGTGAGTTAAAGATGTACAATGTAATGAAAGGTTAAATATTTTTAAACATGTTCAGATAAAGACAACGGTTTTTTCACTATTTATTTTATTAGTTTTATAACTATCAATGTCTTTTTTATGATTAAATTTAAAATTTTGTCAGATTCCTTTTTTTTTTTTTTTTAAGTCAATGCAGTGCATACGCTGTAATTATATAGACATGTTGATATGGCTCTTAAATAACTTTAATTAAATTAGAAAGATAATATTATTGAGAAATATTTTTTTTTTTTAAGATTCTAAAAGGGCTTCCTACTTTGCATAAAGTGTGGAATCCTTTATTTTAATTTGAATGTGACAAAATTATTCTCTGATTTGTCAATTTTCAGTCAAACATAAGTTTTCATATTAAACTTAACACAAACACATGTATTTCATAAATGTCTCCAATATCTCTTTCCCCAATCTTGAAACAATAAAACTTTCTACTGAAACAAAGATTCTTGTTACAAAATAAGGGAGAAATGAAAAAATAAAAATATTATAACAAAGCAAAAAGTTGGCAACCCTATCTACGAAACATAACTGTCACATGGCTCTTCAAAAGTCCCATTCATTACGTGCCTCTTCATGACACGATAAAACCAACCAACTGAAGCTGTCAACGTATATCTGACAATGGAATATGGCCTGTAAAGGTATTGGTTTCAATGTAAACACCGGACTTTACAAAACAATTGTATGTCTAAGTTTGAGTACATGATTGAGTAAATATTCTCATGTTATAAGCATCTATCTCCAGTTATAAATTCTTTCGTTCGTGGGATATTGTCCACAAACTTGTCAGAGTTGGTCCAGCTTTAATATTTCATGTACATATTTACAGTAGATATGATGATTCTGACCAATTTCGGACATGATGATCTCTTCAGCTCCTAAGTTAATAACATATAGACTTAATATTGTGTAGCTATTATAAATGAACATTTTTACTAATATTATTATTACAACAAATATGTAGTTCTCACCAATGAAAGTTACTATACTAAAAATATTTCTTTTTTCTCAGTGTTCGTTTATCTATCTTTTAATTCAAAATACTCAAGCAACGTGAGTTCAAATCTCAGTGCCGGTACCTGTGAAATTGTTAATTTTAAGTGCTGATTTATCACATGCTCAGTGGTGAATTAAACATCATGACCTGCATATTTTCTTAATTAAAACAAAATTAAAATATTAGATATGTGTAGTCTACCAATCCATACAGTGGAGGAGGCCTTTGCAGAGCATTGAGAAATAATAGCCTATAAAGTAATATAATGGATAATCATTTTCAGAATTACACAAAAAAGATAGTCAACAGCCTTATAAATAGGAAATCATTTTAAAATATATTAGATAATATTAGAAATATTTTTATAAACTGAAAATTATTTACATTGTTACCACCAAAAGTAATATTAGAGCAGGTTTAGAAATATACATGTGAAATAATTTCATATAAGTTCAATCTAGTAACAAATTTTTTTTTAAAGATAAATATGTATTACTTAGAGTTAACTAATCACATGAAATAGTACCATAAAATGGAAAAATACACTTTGTATTTCTTTGGCATACATCATAAACTTCCTTCAACCTAGTATCAGTAAAGTCAACTCACAATTTTATGTTGCAAGTTATACCTGTTCCGAGCTGTTCCCTAGAACGTACATTATAAGAGATTATTACCTACATTATTCCAGATAAAAATTATGATACACTAATAAGATTGTTACATCAGCACAAGGAATGGGAAATTGAAAATAGCAATTATTTGATAAAAAGGGATGCATAATGAATGTATTGAATAAATTATACTCACTAAACACACAAATACAATATACTAAAAGCTTGTAGGTTAAAAGTTAAATTGAGGAGCAGTGGTGGAAGAATATCAATCACCACTAATAAAGTAATAAATTTGAGACAGGACAATTATCAATCCTATATATATTTAAAAAAAATGATGAATAACATATTTATTTGGATAAGGATTAACATCATGTTTATAAAAACATCTTCGTAAATAATGCATTATTTTAGACTATATTTGGTTAGCATAAAAAAGGTTATACTAAGCCAAGCTTAAAAAATAGACATATGCTGTCAGGGACTTTTTTTAACTTTTAAAGGAGAACAATTCTGTCATGCATGATTTTTGCGAAACTTTAACTATTAACACAACACATGCAGCAGAAGCTCTCAAAAGAAAAAGGAAAACCCCAGATTTTGAAACATTCTTCATTGGTGCTCCATTCCTATTGATCTTAGCGTGATGATATATAGCCTATAGCCTTCCTCGATAAATGGGCTATCTAACACTGAAAGAATTTTTCATATCGGACCAGTAGTTCCTGAGATTAGCAAATTCAAGCAACAAACAAATAAAACTCTTCAGCTTTATAATATTAGTATATGTTTTGTACCGTAATCCAGGATTAATTCCGAATAAATGTAGTATAAAACCGAATAAAATTATATTTCCAAGAACACTTCCATATTAAGTGATATTAATAATCTTCTGTAAATTTAGAGTTAACATATATGTCATAAAAGTGTTATACACTATTTCTCCATCATTAATAAGCTGTTGTGTATTGCAAACCTACAACTATCAACATTTCACATGTCCTTGAACAATTGAGTTTTCCGCATGATATTTATATTTACCAAAACAATCATTCTACCTCATCGTAAAGTATATTCCACAATCGACACAGTATATTATATGTGTGTCGAATAACATTTTAATTTACACGTAGTACACAACTGTCTTTGTAATATCTTAATTATTTAACGAAGGAAACATTTAGAATCATAATACGAAGTAGTACTAACGAAAAAATTGAGAAAGCTCAAGAACCACTTGATCTATTTCGGCACCGCACGTTTTAATATAGAATAAGGGAGGGTACTCACCGCTTTCAAATGAAACTTCTATGAAGAAAAAATCACCTTAATTACAATATCACAAATTGTCACTAACTAAAAACACTTAATTTAAATTGGATTATTCAATATTTTTCAAAGAACAAATGTCGACAAATTAATGACGGCAGTTTTTGACGTTTAACTGTTAGAGTTTGATATTAGGCAATAATATAATTAATTCATAGTAATTATACTTTCAAAAAATGGGAATATTTTAATAGAGTTTAAAATTGCAATATTAATTTACAACAAATTAAATAATTAATACGGAATAATTATAACGTTGAATTTTTTTTAGGTTGTCTATGTCCAATGTCTATGATAACTTTCGTTCATTCATTCATCCGCACTGCTATCCTTGTTCCGATGCGTTCTTTTTGGTTACATGTGGATGGAACAAGCGAGGAGTGCAAGCAAGCAAAGCAAACGAAGGTAGCCATTTTGAAGTTACATCTGCAGTGGCGTATACGTAGAGAAAATTTGTTAAGTGCTTATTTGTGTTATATTTAGGACGTTGTGAATTTCAGCTGTAAAAATTGAGTCCGGTAAGTGGTTTTCAATTGTAGTTAATATAGCTAGGCCAGTTTTAACGGTACTACGAACTTTCTCATGGACGCTGCTGACTCATTTCGTCAAATTGTGTATGCGTTTCAGAAACTAAAATGCCGGGCGCCGGTACTTTCAAAATCTTCGTCGGGAATCTTTCCGATAAAACGACGGACGCCGATCTCAGACCGCTATTCGAGAAGTTCGGTACGGTCGTAGAATGCGATATCGTCAGAAATTACGGTTTCGTGCACATGGAAAACGAGCAAGTCGGCCGCGAAGCAATTCAGAACTTAAACGGCGAGATAGTGCATGGTCAGGCGATTAAAATAGAAGCGGCCAAGAGCCGGAAGGCGCCGTCGACGCCGACCACGAAAATCTTCGTCGGTAACCTAACGGACAAGACGCGCGCGCCGGAGGTCCGCGAGCTGTTTCAGAAGTTCGGCACGGTGGTAGAGTGCGATATCGTGCGTAACTACGGCTTCGTGCACTTGGACGCGACGGGCGACGTGAACGAGGCTATCAAAGAGCTGAACGGTATGATGGTGGACGGGCAGCCGATGAAGGTCCAGCTGTCCACTAGTCGCGTCCGCCAACGGCCCGGCATGGGCGACCCGGAGCAATGCTACCGTTGCGGGCGCGGCGGCCACTGGTCCAAGGAGTGCCCCAAGGCCATGGGCCCCGACCGGAACGGTTTCCGCGATCGAGCGTTCGGCCGCGACCCCTACCCCCCGCCGCCGCCGCCGCCGTTCCTCCGCGATCGCATGATGGGAGGATTTGGGGTAACGCGTTTCCACTTACCTTTAGCGCCGTCGGTGCCGACCCCATTCTCGTGCTCCCAACCGACGCATCGAGTAGGCCGCGCGTGGACCCGATCTCCGCACGGTACCTATCTCGGGCCGCCTAACACACTTCCGGGCTCGTTGATGCTAAAGCTTATTACCATTAGACCTTTCATGCAAAATTCCTTCATACTAAATTGTCTGTTACGAACATGTGAATTTATTGTTTTTATTTTTTACTTTTTTTCTTTTCTTTTCTTACAGTCACTGACCGATTACCATTTTATGAATGCTTGTTTATGTATTGCAACAGGATCCGTATGATGGGTACTACGACCGTGCGAGGTTCGACTCTCCCAGAGAGCTCTTTGAGAGGAGATATCCCGTGGGAGCTACCCGGGCACTAGAGATGGGCGCTTCGCGCGGGGCCCGAGGGGACTTTGTGTCGCCCCCACTCCGCCGAGAGCCCATGCCGCCAATGCCCAGTCTGCCCCCCATGCGCACCAGTATGGGCTCGATAAGGTCGTCCTACGACACCATGTTCAGCCGCAGGAGTCCTCCACGGGGTCCACAGATGTCGCGAGGGTAAGAAACCACATATTTGTTTTCCACTTATGACAACAATTAATTTATTAATTCATATTATGATTTCATCAAAATAATGGAATTAATAATATGTTACAGGATGTATGAAGATTTCAGCCGAGACACATTCGATGACAGAAGGTAATTAATGAGAACTGCCTTATATATGGTGTAGTTTATTAAAAAAATAGTCGTAGTCCTATTTGCACATAATTTAAACATTCTTTGTTAAGAAATCAAAACTACAGTTTAATATGTATAATGCAAACTAATTTGCTTGGAAAGCTTGTTTTTACTAACGTAACTGGTCAAATCAGATGAGGGATTTATAGCAGAACACTATACAACATAATATGTATATATGATTGTTAACATAATTAATTATCAGATTACATATACATATAAAATACAATTAAAGTATTTTGCTTTAAACTATAATATAATTAATTTGTTTTTTTTTTTTTTACAGGCCTGGGATGCGTGGTCCATCGCCGTCTAGAAGATACGCCCCTTACTGAGAATGTATACTAATTTAGTTATTACACATATTGTGTAATATTACTTGACTGTCCATTAAATCGTTTGAGATTTCTAAGGACATATAATTTTGTAAGTGTGACTGCGAGTGACTTACATCCAATTTAATATAGAATAAAGTGAAATGAATGGTTGAGTTTATAGACTGCTAATGTGAAGGAATGTAAATAAGTAAAAATAAATCTCATTTAAGTACAACAATTATAATTTTTATCATGTCTTGTCCTACTTGTCTTAATACAGATGATATAAACTGTTCTTATAGTTTGTTATAAATGTACAAATTCACGTTTAAAAGTTCCTCAAACGCATTTCTGTCAGCCAACTTTGATAAATTTTGCTTAATTGTATGAAGAAAAAACAGTGAAAGAACTTTGAAATCATAAACCGTAAAACAGAAACTTGAAATCAGTATTGGCTTTATTTCGTTACAATAATTAAATCGGTGTCAAAAACTTTTCATTTTATGATATTAGGGAAGATTATGTTATTGCAATAATGTAAAGGATTTTGATGATTCCGTGGCGCAGTAGTTCGATTCCCACATGGGACAACTATTTGTGTGACCCACAGAGTTTTCGTATTTGGGTGTTTGTGCGCATGAAATTTAAGTTTAAAACGTTCTTACAACACAGGATAATGTTATTAAAATAAGAGCAATGTTTTAATTTTAAAAAAATGTATTGTTTCACTGTGGGTTTTCACAAGTAGTCATAATGAACATTTTTACCTACCTCTGGCACATTTTATAATCTGGTAGATTTTTTGATGGCCAAGCACGGCGTATACTTAATATCCTTGGTATCATTGGCATGAAACAAACAAAAAATATATTGAAGCTGCCGTTGCATATAGTCATGAAACAATTAGTGAAAGCTCTATCAAAATTATATACCTCGGATTAGAAGTAATTTTCTCCACGATTTATCATCGTATTAAATAATAAAGAATATTTTCGGACATAAGATAATATACGATATGCAAAGGCATCTTTGGCCGCAGAATGTCCCTTAAACTACTCATGTGTTAGGTTACGTCTAAACAACGTTATTTATGAACCTACTTTAAAAATTATTTTCGCATTTCATCAATCGGGAGATAGACAAGGACCTAAACTAAATTCTAATATCACATAAAAGATAAAAATAACCAATAACCATGTTGGCAAATAGTATGGGGGAGTGAGATATTTTAAGTATTTTTTTTTGTTTTTGTCAATAAAAATGCACTTTAGTTTACCAATACTATTACTTTAATAATTATTAAAACGCATGCTATGGACTATACTTTGATTATATCCTTGCTTGACTAAACTAGATATAAGATAACTCGTTTAACATTACCAAGTGATGAATCCGTGGCGCAGTCGCAAAGGCTTCGGCGTCGGGGGTCGTGGGTTCGATCCCCACACGGGACTACTACAACGTGTGTGACCCACCGATAGTTGTTTCGTATCTGGGTGTTTGTCCGCGTGAAATTGTGTGTCTGAAAAACTAAGTGCTATTGTTATCTAATTATTGAGTCATCGTTGAGTTTTAGTTGTATAAGTCGGTAAAAGCTGTATTTTATAACTTGTCTCCAATAAACTCTGTTGGGAAAGCTAAGTATTTTTGTTAATCAAATATTGAGTCATTGAGTTTTAGTTATACAAATCGGTAAAGGCTATGTTTTATATCATGTCTCTGATAATTGTTATCCTAAAGTAAGAGCAATGTTTTTAAAAAAAAAATGGCGCAAATAAAGTCTACTAAAATATGTCGACTCTACTCGCCCCTGTCAGTCTCATTTGAATCGTCAAAAGGATAATGTACCCGCAAAAAATAATGTTTTTGTCAAATTGTATCGCAATTATATGGGAAAACCGTATAATAACACCAAGATGACTTCATCGGTAATTTGTAATTCACTGAGAGTTAAGAAACAATTATTAAAATAAATTTACAATATGAAGACCTCGTTAAAGATGTTTTAAGCTGATATACAGCTGTCGTTACCATCGCGACAATAAATGAACACACGTCTAAAGCTACTTGCCAATAATCATACAAAAATACAACCCGCTTCACAGCGTCGCATTACAAGCCTCTCCTTCTAACAGTATGTTTTATCTCTTTTAAATTCATTCAACCCATTCATATGCTTTGTGACCTTTACAAATGATCTTTACGTTACTGTTTTATACGTAAGGATGTTCTAAAATTCTTTGTTTTGGAAAATTTAATAACTGTAAATATTGATGTTTAAATAAGGTAAATGTTTAATACAATTTTAAAAAGTTATCCCCTATATGTGTGTTCATTTATTGTAGCAAACGTAAATACACGCGTAGAACATACACCTCAAGTTCAAACATAGTCAAACCGCATAGAAGAGAAAGTAGTAGTAGTTAGTAGTTCTTAATAGTACGTAATAGTTCTGAACTGTTTTCGTGTTATTTTGTTCGTACGAGGTATTTGTGGGTCCATTTCTGATCTTAGTTAACATCAATGATCTGTGCTGTGCGGCAAAAATAATATAAGTAATAATAATAATAACTAGAAATAAACATATAATTATACAGCGTGTCGAGACAATAAATAAACACACATATAGAGGATAACTTTGTAAAATTGTATTAATAATAATAATAAAATATCTTTATTCACATAGACGCTTGCGCGTTCTTATGAAACGTCAAAATTTTACAAGAAATTATTAAAGATTTCATTCCTTAAACATCAATATTTACCGAGTTACCAAATTTTCCAAAACTAAGAATTCTAGAACATTCTTACGTATAAAACTTTAATGTAAACTTCATTTGCAAAGGTCACAAAGCATATGAATGGGATGAATGAATTTAAGAGACAAAACATACTGTTAGAAGGAGAGGTTTGAAATGCGATGTTGTGGCAACGAATGAAAAAGTCTCTGTTGAAACAATCTGCGACATATTTTCTCCTTGGGTACCTACCCTCGTAAAATAAAACAGTGTGTTTTATACTTACTATACGTAATGGTGATAAAATCTTTTGGTTAAATATAACGAAAGTTTTTGTGAGTACCTTCCAGTTAATTAATTACTTATCATATTTGAGAAAATGTAAAATAGCGATACACAACTGGTTTACCCGGTTAAGCTACTGAGCATTTTAATACTTGGACGAGTTAAAGCATGAAGAAGTGGTGATGGATATCCATCGTGAACACCATCACTGGTACTTGGACAACGTAGTACTTGGACATACACGACTGGTGTAACCGGTAAAGCCATTTAAGTTTGATAAATCACTGAAAACTGTGAACGTGGCGATATTCATCCCAGTTGTGAAGGGATAAGCCACAGGGTAAGGTATTCCGAACGTGGCGATATGCATCCCAGTTGTCAGGGATAAGCCACAGGGTAAGTGTTTTGAACGTGGCGATATGCATCCCAGTTGAGGGATAAGCCACAGTGTAAGGTGTACTGAACGTGGCGATATGCATCCCAATTGAGGAAGATAACCTTCATAAAATTAACACCTTACCCTGTGGGTAAGGTGTTAATTTTATGAAGGTTACTTGTACCAGACTACAACGCCATTCGAGGACGAAGGCGTGATGCAGGACGGCCGAATGTTGGCGCTGGCAACACTGTATACCGGATATGACCTTATCTACTTGAGCCAAGGGACACATGGTCGCATGGAGCAGTGACCACTGTGCAGTGGTCACTTGGATTTCGGCCGCGTTCCCGGACGGTTATATAACCACTAGTGCTGCTTGTCGTTATAATAGTTGTTAATATTCACGTTCGGTAATAGTTAAAATATTAGGATCAAGGTAAAATCGTTAAAACTCTTATATGTATAACTTAAATTTACATTTATATTATTTTATTCATGGATGCTTATAAATTATAGTTATTAAATTAATTTTAATAATTGAATTCTGTATAGGTATTTTCTTATTTAAGATTGCAGCTTATCAGTCATACGAAAAACCTTATAGTATATCAAAAAGTCAAAAACTGAAATATTGCAATACTAAATATTAATATTTTTGTCGGATTGCTCTGTGTCGGTTCTTTCTGTGACTTGGAATTTAAAAAAATAGCGAACAAAGCCCGCTTCCTTCATTTATTATGTTGGCAGAACTTGAATTGTATTGTTTTTGAAGTCAAATGAATAAAATGGCGGGCTTTCTTAGTGAAAAATAACAAATTTATATATTTTTTTGTCGAATACTAAGCGACCGGAGAATTCTGCATGTAGATTAATTCATTTGTAATTTTTCTCTATCGCTTTAAATTTATTTCAATTGCTATACGCGAACGTTAATGTCCTTTACATTAATCGTTATTTTATCCACCCAAGAAAGATATTTAATCATACCTTTGTTCAGCAGTGAACTCAAACAGGCTGAAATGATGGTCATTAATAAAACAAAAAAATATGTATTTTATGCGATACGTGGTCTTTTTTTTTTAAATTAATTTATTTTTTGTCTTTATCATGAATAATATGATGAATAATATTATATAATAAAAAACTCATTAGTTTTGTAGTGTAGTTAAACTGACAGCAAGATTTATTTCATATATTCTTACCAAGTTTCTCAACATAATTTCATCTTCTCAACTATAGCTAAGTCAGGTCAGTTTAAAGGTCAAAATCGTGTTAAATTTCAATGTTATCTTTCATTGTAGGTATTTGGCCGGTTATTGCTGTTTGTAATTATTGTTCCGATATTCGAATTATAGCTTTTTTCTTTGAAAGAAATTAAAACTATACAATTTTTCCAAGGGTAGAACAAATTAGAACAGTTTGTCTTTAGTTTACAATATATAACCAAAACTTGATTCTTGTGATATTCTTAAAATATTGTAGATGAAATCCTTGGGTTTTCTATAAAACCATTTATTTAAAAAAATTAAGGAAACACTATTAAAACTGTTTTTCACCTCGTAAAACATGGATGAAACAACATGAACACACAACATGATGAGATAAGCCCGATGTAACGGGTGATTTCATCACTTTGTCTAAATTGTTGTTTTTCTAAAGATTAGGCTGCATGTCCAATGAACCTTTGCCTTTTCGAAAGGTTGAATCAAAAAGTTAAGTTCATTTGTTCGTGCCCTAAATAAGACTTAAATACTGAAACTTTGACATATATAAACTGAAACACATATATACGGTTGGTACTTGTCATTTGAGATTGCCGCCGGTTCGAATTGACATTGGATAAATTAGTTTTTGTGGATCCATTATCTTCGACTGGTAAGTAATTGCTTGGTTTCGTTCATGCCAGTGGTTGTTTTGTTTGCGTATTTCGTTTTCTTATCAATTCGCTTTTTTTTTACAGTGCATGGCTAGAGGTTGAAATCAGAACACGTTCCTGATCGTATTGTCTGTGTAATTCCGGTCTGGGAAACTCTGTGCTGGATTTTTTATCCCTCGTGGTAAGATCCTTTTGTAATTTTCCCTGGTTTCCTACTAAAATTGTAAAAGACTTGCATTGAGAATGTATTTAGAATCTCACATGAAGGTAGGTTGAGAATTTTATTGTCTTGTGTTTCTAAGGTTGGTTTTTCGAATATCACAGGTGGATGCTGAAGGTATAGGTGGCTGGCAAGCTGGTCTGAGCTGCTGCTCGATTAAATATTGTTTTTTAACTCCAGTTGGTAAGTGTTTCACATCTTATAATTGTAGGTGGATTCGTATCCCTGCCTTTGTTTGTTCTACAATGTAGTGTTTGTTGGCAGGAGGTCTCCTCCATACCCCCCAACTGTGTACTGTGTCTGGCTGTACATAGTTGTGCACTTTGGCTGATTTTCTCTGCTGGTTCTGAGCTGAACGCTGACCTTTGCACACAGGGCTGGTGTCTGCGGTGACAAAGATTTAAAATACCTACCTGATTGGACTTTGTTTTTTAAATTGAATTGCATAACTTTCATAATCTCAAATCAATTTAATTATCTAACCTTTTTATGGTCGCACAAAGTAATGTGTAGGTCCTATGTACTCACGACTCCCTGAGATACTTAATTGTAATTATTACAACAGTCTGTTCCTAACAGACAAGGCGCCCAACTTATTATTATTATTATTATTATTTAAAATATATTGTATCTGAGCAAGTCCAGGGATTGCAACTTTAAACTGATGGGATAAATACATCTTTACTGCCAATAAATCTTTTATTAAATATTCCCATCATTAACTAGACATTCATTAATAAAATATTACACCGAGCTTGAAGGCAATAATGCCTCCAAGCTCGTCCAAAAAATACTTCAATCTTATACAAAGCATTTTATGGCTCAGTATTAATGCATGATATAATATACAATGCTTTTTAATGGATATCTGATAGTTTAATAGGGTTATTAGTTTAATCGCTAATAAACATGTGTGCGATCGTTATTAAAATAAATAATTTTTTTAAATAGTATAATTTTTTTTAAATTAAAATCACACACATTTTTTTAATATTTGTTTTCTTCCTAATATTTCCATTCTTAGACTACATACAATAGAACTTCTAGCTCTCAATGGTCAATGGAACCTACTACCCAATTCCTTCCACGCGAATCGATCATGGCCCCTCGCATATGCTACGAAATGAACTGCGTTGTGAGGGTTGGAAATCAAACAAGTTCGTTTATAGTCCATTAATATTTTATTTAGTCCGTAACTTAGGTGACGCGTGCGCGCGTACACTCGGCACCCGCTTTTGCGGCCGTCCGTGGCCCGCGCTTCCCAGCATTGGGCCCCATTTCGCCCACGGCTGGGCAATAAAGGCCACGCACGAGAGGCCGCGCGCACGCGAATATACGCAGTCTAATACAACTACCCACTATATTTACAAGACAATGTACACAGTGCGGCCGCGCTTCTCGATGCGACCCGTTCGCCCGCTCCCAGTGTATGCAGTGTACACAGCTCCACATGAACGCACGCGATGTACATAAATGTGCCTCATATAAATGAACATGCCTGTATTTCGTACCGAAATGGAGCGCGTACCTCGACATTCGAAGGAGACAATTTGCTAACATCAGCAATAATAAATTTGTAAATTGTTACTCAACTGTCAAACTACTTTTACATTAAATAGTATTGTAATGACCACTCATAACTGCAACGTCACGTAACCTTGGACGGGAGATCGGTTAAAAGGTCACAAACCTGTTGAATTACGTATATTATTGTAACAATTATCTTTCAATCTCCGATTCCGTGTGCGGCGCCGTTATGCCGTGAGTACGCTCAAACATTTAACACACGTACGGTACAAACGCAATGTTGGAACGGTGCGCGCTGAGAGCGGACGAGCGAGTGCCGGTAATGGCTTAAGTACAATTCACTGACGGGCAATCGCAAAAGGCACGGGCGGTGGCGGTGTTCGCGTCATACGTTCCACCGCGAAACCCGGCAAGAACTAACAGGAGAACTCTACTTTACTCAAAACGTATCAGTCTTGTGTTCGAGTCGCTTTTACTATCGAATCGTCTAACGACGCGTCAAGCCATCGGACGAAAGGAAAGGTCCACCAAGCACGAAGGGCGAAGCGTTGCCGCCGAGGAGTCAGAGCAGCTTGGCCGCCGGCTCCGCGCGGAACCGGGCCAGCGTCTTCTTGACGCGCAGCGCCGTGAGCCGCACGGGCGGGTTGGCGTGCCAGCACTCGGCCATGGCGGCCGCCAGCGCCGCCAGCGGCTCGCAGGCCAGCCAGCGCGGCGGGATGGCGGGCCGCAGCCCCCGGCCCACCACCGCCGCGTGCATGTCCTCGAACGAGGGGTCCGCCGGCACGTGCTCGTGGTAGGGCAGCGCGTAGGGCTCCACGCGCTGCGCCTTGGGCCCGCTGGCGCAGCGGCGGCACATCTCCCACAGCACCAGCCCCAGCGAGTACATGTCGGCGCGCTTGAACGCCTCGAAGTTGGCCACGTCGAGCCGCTCGGCGAGCACCTCGGGCGGCATGTAGCGGCGCGTGCCGACGCGCGTGTTCGGCGCGATGTCCACCTCGTTGCGCTCGGCCACGTGGCGCACCGCCAGCCCGAAGTCGGCGATGGCGCACTGGCCGTTCCTCTTCACCAGGATGTTCTTGCTCTTGATGTCGCGGTGCGCGATCGCCGGCTTGCCCTTGGTGCCGAATATGTCCATGTGCAGGTGCGCGAGCCCGCTCACTATCGAGTAGGCCATCGTGAGCAGCGAGCGCGTGTCCAGCACCACCGTCTGCAGGTAGTCGTGCAGCGAGCCGTTCTCGTGGTAGTCGGTGATGAGCAGCATCTGCGTCCACGAGCCGGTGCCCTTGATGTCGGCCGCGATGAAGCCCAGTATGTTCTCGTGGCGCATCAGCACCGTCTGGTAGATCTCCGTCTCGCGGAACCACGACGCCTCCTCGGTGGTGAAGAACACTTTGACGGCGACCTTCTCGCCGCGCCACCTGGCGAGCCACACCTCGCCGTAGCGGCCCTTGCCGATCGACTCGACCATTTGGATCTGTTTGGCGACCGTCCGCTGCACGAGGAGCGGCAGGCCGGAGCCGGAGCCGGAGGATATTTCCGTGTGGTGCGAGACCGTCGGCGGGGAGGGCGGCCTCTTGCAGCCGCGCCGCCTCCTGCGGAACAGCAGGAGGAAGGCGGCGATGAAGGCGATCAGGGCGACGCAGAGGGCGATCGCCACGAGCAGGGTGGGGCTGGCGGGCGTGGGGGGGCGCAGGTCGGGCGCCTCCGTCACGTCGGGCGGCGGCTCCGGCAGCTGGGGCCGCAGCCGCCTGTTGCACATGTCCGCCTCCGAGCAGCACTCGATCACCTTCGGGTGCTGGTGTGGCACTTGTGAGCTTTTGCACTGGAACGTAATGATATAAACGTTATATCTTACAACATTACTACTAATTATCCAGTTAAAATAAATACTGAGAGAAACACTATAGGGTGAGGAGGTGAGCGAAACATTTTCAAAGTTTTCAAAGTACCAAATGGATAGTTGTGAGCCGCCATCAAAAATTTAAACAGGGTGCAATGTGGTATGCTGTCTTAACTTTTATGATGCCACATCGAAACAAGTTTTGAATCATACTTTGTGGCCAAGTTGTAATGATTTATGTAATAACTACTTTTTGTAGCAGTACATGTAGTTTTGCCCAAATACTCTGATATTATTATTGTCTTTAATATCTGCGACCAGCACCATTCTGATACCAGAAATCTCATTGCAGCACATAGTTCACCTACCAGTGGATGGCTGGAATGACTTATGTGGTTGGGGAGTCAATGAACGACGGTCGAATACCTTCTATTGACAGGAAGTCCATATTTTCATGAGGGACAGAGAAAATCGAGAACTCTGGTGGATATACAACAATTGAACCAGTAAATAGGACCTTAAAACTTCATACGCGAACTATTCAAACTTCATGTGCCCCTTACTGCCTTACCTTACCTCACGCGAAAATCGAAAGTATAATATTACCAAGCACGGCCGCACAAGCACGTGCTGTTTCACGACACAGTATGTAGTGGTACGGTGCGTGATGTAGTTGGGTTTCCACTGCGACGCCAAACTTACTCCAAACGGCAAAATTATGAGCTCTCCAGGGCGTCGGCTGGTTGGCGGGAAAGAGAGGCACGGTCTTGTCTAGGTGAGGAGGCTTAAAAAAAGCCATAGTCGCGTCAGGGTCGTGGAAGATTGCATTTTCCCGTGTCCCCGGCCGATGCGACAGAGACAGGTGCAACGTGGCTTTTTAGTGGGTACCCGTCTTCGGGACTCCCACACAACCCGATCCAGTGACATTTTCCCACGCAAAAAAAAAACCGCCCGGTCCACGAGCGACAGTGCGAAAGGGACGGACTGCGACCGACCTGCATGAAGCCCGACTCGTCGGGCGGCAGACAGCCCGCGGTGCGCTCCAGGTCGAGGCGGCCGCCATCGTCGAGCACCTCCTCGACGGTCGCGAAGCAGTAGCCGCCCGGCTGCGTGACGCACGTGCCGTTCGCCGAGCCGTCGGGGCACGCGCTGGCACCGGCGCACTCGCAAACTAGGCCCCGACCTGGCATCAGAGGGGATTTCGCTTGTCAGCAAAGCTCGTCGAGGAATTTGTGTATGATCGAGACGGTCTTTCCAACTCATCGAAATACACAAGCATTCGCTTTGCTACGAATCTGTTTTATGAAAACGAAATAGTTGTATTGTGTAAATATAAGTTGATATTATTATTCTTAGTATTTTTATGGTTGTATTTTTTCGTTACTTTTATGATAAGTTTTTTATTATTATAGAAATGTAGCAAGTGGAATGATCTATTTAAAGATATGAGTAGAATTATGAATGGAGTATCGAGCAAACTTTAATTTATTATTTATTTTGGAAACAAATCATTCCAAGTAATGAAATAAGTTTTCCATGTGTTATAGTATAAATAGTCAGTTTAAAAATTATGACATTATAAAAACTAATGGAAGAAAAAGTATCATATCAGTCAAAGCACACAGAAATGAAATAATATTACAGCCTTGACAAAATGAATTTCATGACTTAAATATATAAAAGACGAATAGTCTTGTGTATTATCGTAAAGGCAGGTGTAAAAACAGAATTCTAACGAATTCACCATAAAGCAACGCTTCGGTAGTGACGACAGTTAGTTAACATGAACGCTAAATCCAGCAAATGGTTTCATTTGCTAGAATTTAACCTTAAACACACCGTAATCTTCCGTTAAGCGGTCTTCGTCCGACATACTTAAGAAGTAATTAGCCAGGGCAATTGAGCAGCTAATTGGTTTATAATTACGAGTCGAGACAAATATCACATAAATACGAACAGAACCTACAACATAAATTACAAAACATCACGTTGTTAATGCCTGCTGATAAAGACACTTAGAAAAGGACCAAAATAAAAGACCTGGAACAAGAAAAACTAAAAACGAAACGATAGATTCTCCGCTGAAAAATAACAATTCAACCAATTGCCAACGACGATAAAACAACGATGATAAAAACGTACTCTTTGGTACTGTGACATGTTTTAAACTAAATACTAACTCAACCTCGAACCATCGCTAAGCTATATAAGCATCTATAAGACACCCTTGACGAGAAGATAAGATGCAGCGACAACATTGCAACCGTTACAAGAGCAATGTTAGTCAGTATTTGATAGTTATATCCAATGTTGACTAACAAAAGTATACCTCAACACTTAATTGGTGTAATCAGAGCCATCTACTCCAGCCAAATCGATAGCATCATTGTAATAGACACCGGAAAATCGTAGAACATCATATGCTAAGTAGATGTAAAGTTACAGCCTATATATGTCCCACTGCTGGGCAAAGGCCTCTGTGCAGGGTGCATTAGGGCATAGTTCATCATGCGACCACACTGCTCATTGACGGACTTCACATATCTTCGAAATGTGAAGTGGTAAGTTAAAACAATTTACAAATAAAAAGACGTAGTACAAAATGGACGCGTTCTGAAATTCTTCCAGTGCACATTAAAAGGCGCGCGCCTCAATAATATTTACAAGTCGCACTAATCTCGAACTGATAAAGACTGCTTCACAAGTGGCTATTCACCGAGGCCTAGTTTAGTTATTTTAGATTGTAGAAAAAATAATCTTTGAAATTGTTGAAATGATTTTTACCGTTCGTATAAGGACTCGGGTCCAGTCGTCGATGCGGAAACCGCGATGTGGTTGAATTTGCCTTTCTATTTTTATATATACACTTAAAAACAGAAACTGTCTTTATAAAAGCCAAATTTAAACCTTAATCCTAAATCCCATAATCCCATAATTATTGCTTACGTAATTAGCGTTAAAGAATTCGAGCACAGATAAACACAACAGCTGTGTTTTTAGGCACTACAATTATTGCTATCGATTGTGCCAGTACGCTCATTGGCTAAAGGATTATCCGATGAGATTAACAGTATAAACACCTAAGAGTAATAACGGTAGAGCACAGAGTACAAAACTATTCCATTCCTACGTAATCACCGTAATATGTAGTACATTTATTAATAACTAAAACGATAAGATTATACGTGTTGTAAAATTAAGCGGCAATAAAACCGATGTCTGGTATAAACATAATATCCGGATAACAGACACGTAATACCGGCGGAGAAGCTATATTTATTTCGTTATTTATTGACCAGGGGATGTCATGAAAATACCGAGTTTTACTCGACAGTGTATTCAATTTTACAGCAAAATCTTTATATTATATAATTCTTCGGTGCGTGACGGAACTCTTACTACACGGCTGGACCGATTTTCATTTTTTTTTTGTGAACAATTCGTTGCACTACAAAATGTGTTTTAAATATTTTTTATTTATAAGTTATTGTCGAGAGTCGTGATAGCTCAGTGTCCGGGCGCTCGCCTTTAATTCAATTTACTCGAGCAATCTGAGTTCGATCCCCGGTGCCAGCACCAACGAAATTGTTAATTTTAAGTGCTGACTCATCAAGTGCTCGGTGGTGAAAGAAAACATACCGTGAGGAAACCTGCATATTTTTGAAATAATAAAAAAACGTCCGCGAATCCACAGTGGGGTCGCGTGGTGGTCTATGCCCAGATACCCTCTTTACAGAGGAGGCCTTTGCCCAGCAGTGGGACATTTATAGGCTGTTACTTTACTTTTTTACTCTAAGTTCTTGTCGGATTTAAGACGTGTGTAAAGAACATCGTGTCCCCTAGTATAAATACTCCTCTAGTATAATATATAATGTGCATGTCAGATTTATCATTTAATAACTAGGCGACTGGCAGTTTCGGATAAAGCCTCGAGTTTAATATCGGATAAAGTAATTAAGGGAAACAATATTCGGTACAGGAATATTCGAGTAGAAACATCGTTATTACACTAAATAAATCACTCTTCATCGGAAAGAAATAAGATCGGCCAATATGGCTTCGGGAAGATTCTAGAATAACGTTCGAAATGAGATCTCTTTAAACCGGTTTCAATACGCGTTTGAAAATATTAATGAGGAAAGGTGATTGTGTGAAATGCATTCACACGATATGTCAACATAAAGTGATATAATGTTTCATTCAATATTGAATTTTAATATTAACATAATGATTTTTTTTTTGAGCGTTTCTCTTCAGAAAATTTACCTGTTTTTGTTGACAGACAAAATTGAGAAGTTTTATTTCTCTAGTATCCAACAATTTATACTAGTATTGAATAATTAATGGAAGCCACGTTTTTAGAAGGCGGAAAATATCTATTAAATAAAAGTATTCACAACTTTTTTAATGTGAGAAAGTGGCAAAGGTGCCGGCGGTTCACCTGACGTTAAGTGACAGCCGCTGCTGATTGACATTTACACTAGTAGGGTTGCAGATTCGTTTCCACCTTTTTATAAAGTGGGCCCTGTCTACCTAACTCGCCAGACGAACCACAAACCACTTCCACTTCACGCTGGTCTTCTGTGAGGTCGTGGTACTTCTACTCACCCGGACGGACCTGCCCATTCGTGCAACAGCGAAGACTGTTGCATACTACTGTTAAAACTTTTAAATATCCACTATCTCGTTTCGCCCTTCACACATCCATACCTATGTACTATTGATCCTACTAGATACCTCCTGGATTCCTGTGAATACATTATGCGTATAAGTCAGTGACTCCTAACCTTATCTTGGTCATAGATTCACTAAACCTTTCATTATTTTTTTACCTTGTGTTTTGTGTACAATAAATATATAAATAAATAAATAAACCTTTTTATTCCTGTTTTACCTATTTTAGTCTATTTTATTAACGTCTTATGGACCATTTTGGCTATTTTTTCAGTAAATATTTTTAAATTTATAGCCACACCGTTCGAAATAATAAAATTCACCCAACTTTCGTCGCAAACCGTTCGTGGATAATTAATTGTAATGTAATGGCTACGATACATAAAGTACGCGGAATAATAAGTGCTTTTGTCATACACGTGGTGGACATTAGTAACATGTGACAAGTAACTTAGGTGTTAGTTAATATTTATGTGTTGCCTTTACAAATCTGTTGGAATTGTTACCAACACCATTTCTTTTATAATTCCTTTTGCAACAGCTACCCAATTGCTGAGAAACACAACGAGAAGGAACCAGTGTAACAAATTTCGATTACTATTTCTGCGGAAGCGTCTCTGACGATGGAGGAATTTTGACTTTTAACAACGTAGCACGTAGCGAATAGCCCTCTTTATTACAGCAAACTAGTAAATTTGTATGCAATAGTGCTTATTATGCCCGTAATATAGAAATGCGGATCAAAACAAAATTCAATTTAAAAAAGAAACCTTTGATTAATAAGGCTCAATGTGTCCATTTAGTTTGTAGGTCATAATATACCAATTAATAAAGCCCGAGACGAATATCAATTAGTCAGATTGGTTTGTGTTCCGAATTTTAAATGAAATTTATGTAAATAGAAATTTGCATGTAAAAAAAATTTTTAAGATAGAAACAAATACATCGAATGTAGAATTAAAATTAGTGGCAACAACATTATTGACAAGGATTCCTAATAATTAATTTACTCTGAACTGAACCTTTATTTTTAATGCTTATGTAGTGAAAATCTCTCTTGCGCCCGAGGGTGTGGGTTCAATCCCTACTACTGTGGATAATATTGTATGATGAAGATAGAAGAAGTCTTTGTTTATATATTTATATAAAAGAAAACTATATTTAAATGTTTTAACTAGTACCGATAGTGAAATATTGGAATTACCAAGATAAGCATAGCTTTCAGATTATGTTGTGAAAAACATATCTTAAAATATGTTATAACGTTTAGACGTTAGATTGGAGAATGACGACTTGCTTAGAAGTCGTGTTCCTCCACTCTAAATAACAGTGTAAACACGCTGATTAGATGTATAAATAAACGGCGTAGGGAATTGTCTACGTCACATGACTAGAATCAACAGAGCAGATAAAAACCAAATATCTCGACGCGAACAGGTTGCCCTCACGAAATCGAATATTATCGTAGCGAAAAGAGTCTCAAGATTTTTTTCTTCGGCCTTAACCTGATATCGGATGAATCATAAAAAAAAGTATCGCCGAGGATTTTCCTTCTGTAATCGATCTACCGCAACAATACGCCATGTCCGTGTAATATCATATAATGTTTTTTATAAGAAACAAAACACTCGTTCACGCATTAATTACACATTAAAGAGTCAACTTTCGAGGAAAACATGTTGTCGTTTAATTCCTTTTAGTGCACTAGCACGCACACATATGAAACATAAAATTGTGTTTTTTTTTTTAGAGATAACTGGACAAAAAACTTTTGGGACTGGAACCTGCACATTACGGGTAACTCCCCCAGTCGCTTTAACAACTAAGTTAAGCTAAGTTTTCACAAAAAAATCACAATTTAAAAACATGTTTTCTATCGCTTTTAAGTTCGTAGTCAAAATCAATGTCTTTATTCAACATAGGAGCATTACACTCGCTTATTGGTAGTCAAATGCTTTGCATTATTAATGTTGTAACCCGAACATACATAGTAGTTCACAATAATAAGAAAAACAAAAAATTTCAAAACAAGTTTGAAATTCTAAATTTGAGGAAATAACGAAAAAATAAATATAAATCTACTATTTTCGCCTATCTTGTAATTATAGCCTCGGTTGGATTTCTTACGGGAGACAGTGAATATTTAACGCGAAGAATCATGTAGACCTTCACAAAAATACGAATGATAATCACAAGAAGAACGAAAGAAAATGCTCAAAGAGACATCTTATATGATAATTATTCAATGAATCTGAACTATTTTGCATATACAATTACATTTTAATGACAGAAATCTAAGAGTAGAACGCGTAACATCGTAGACATTATAATAAATATGTATCATTCGAGAATATCGTTTAGCCGACGAGGCGTTTATTGTGTGGTTTTTTCGACGGGACCCCGATCAACAGGTAAGCCGGGCGAGCTCAGATTTAATATGTAGGGCTGCTGAACCAACAAAGGGAGAACGCTTAACAATGGGCGCCACAGGTATACCCCTCTACGATTGGATGCTTCGCTATTCGAGGCGAACGAATTATACAAGTTATCATATCGCGTTTGGACAGACGGGTATCTTCAAGACGGCAGTACGTCTTGTTTAAGAAGCGGGGGAATATCGGCCGTCAGGAAGTAACCAGAGTCCCGAGCGTGCGGTTGCAAATAAACTAACTGGCGTGGCGTCGACAGAGACGGTCGCGATGGCTCGAACAGTCGTTTAGAATTACCTGATTAGTATTCAATCGGCGAGCGAGGCGGGGGGAAACGCACAAGCGCTGGAGCGGAGAGCGTAACTCATCTCCGACACGGGCTTACTTACGTACGATACGCGAAGGAATAGTAAAACCACACAAAACCGGGGACGGGGAAGCGGATGAATTATTCAGACCCGCGCCCGTCCTTCCGTCCGCTGCCACTTGACGGGACTCTGCCACGAGAGCGAGAACACTTCTCCACTGATCACTGACCGCTGTACAAACGACTGGCGATGGCTGAACCTCGTTAGTAACTCCAAATTGGCTAAAGCGACTGGACACAGACAGAGCGCAGAGACATCGACGGCTCCACAGCAGCATCTAGATCTACGGAACTAGTTTAGCATAAGGTGGTCGGTCGTACTTAGTCTCATGTCGGCGGGCGTCCGAGCGAGGATCTGGCCCGCTTTAGCGCTATCATTTAAATATAGCTTCGCACCGACACCGCCGTCTGTCGCCGGCTTTATTTTTAAACAACGCGAACGTCGCACGCGATTCGAACACGGGGCACGCCGTCTCGCGGGAGACGCTCAACACTTGGTTCGCGCTGCGCGTTCGTACCGTTCGGCGGTCGCGAGGCGAATGAGCTAGCGCGGCGTCCCCCTTGGCCGGTCGCTCGACAAGCCCCCCTGCCCCTGCCCACCCCCGCTCCGCTCCCCGCCCACGCCACCCCCCCTCCGTCGCGGGCGTGCACTATGCACCGCTGCAGCCTCCACATGGTGGAAGATAAGGCGGATCGGTGTCAGGACGCCGGGCGATTCGGGCCACACGAGCGAAACGCGCGCGTGTTCCATTGATGACGACGCCGTAGCGGGGCGATAATGGCAAAGCGCGCGCGCGACACGTAAACATTAGATCGGCGAACGGCCAATACGACGCGCGGGAGCGACGACGCATCGGCGAGAATGTGGCGGCGAATTTTTTATTCGACGACGGCGACGGCGACGCTCTAAATATAGCGGTAAAGTTTATCGAGCGCCATACATAAGATCCATTGATGCGGGACATAAGGTGTGTTAGCAACGGACGGCGGGCCGCTTTCGGACAGAGTGCCGAGGCGAGACAATGTCGAAGTTTGCCAATGTGAATGCGCGGCGAATGTCCAAGAGAACAAGCGAGTCGCACAAGGATATCGCTACGTCAGGCGACCTCGTTTATTCGCGCGAGTAACGAATCCGTTTAGCCGGTCGCCCAAAGCTCGTCAGAGGCGGGCGTTCGTCGGAAGCTGCAGCTTTTTATAGTTTATGAGCGTGCCGTCAATCGCCGCTTACACGTGTTATTAGGAGAGACGCCTCCGACATTACGTCGGAGTTAATCACCGCGTTTAATGACGTACCTGGACTGCTGCCGTATCGTTACGGGTTTATTGTCATTTGAAACGATCGTCAGCGATCACCGGCAATTACTACTGTGAGAAGCAGCGGGACGCGACGCGCATGATGCGTGTAACCCTAAGGGGCTTATATTAGGACCGGTACTATTCCCTTAAGCTGTATTTAGCTACGTTCAACATACGAGTATTTAGAGACGGACAAAGTCAGCCGTTTGAGTCGGCGATGAAAAAAAAACATTGTGAAGAAATCTATGCGCATAAAGAAATGAGCCGTGCGGTGATCTTGACCTCTTTTGTCTCTATGAAAGACATTATACAACTGTACTATAGAATGTACTGTCCTACGCACACTGTACTGTCGTTTACCTTTAAACTTCGTTTAGTTGAGTTCGATACTCTCTGATTGCATTCACTAGGAATGTTTCCCCGGGTTTCCTTTCGGCAGAGTCGTTCGATCCGATCGTTCGTTTGTCTCGTCGGGCGGACGTTTCGCGCGGCCGCTGGCCCATATGCGGCTCACGTGCGCCCCGCTCCACCGGCCCCCGGCCAATTGGCGCAATGAATAACGACAGCGGGCGGCCGCTCCAGACGCGCTAATGCACGCTCAAGGATGCCCCCGCCGAACGCAGAGATGCAAAATCGAACAGCGGCCGAGTGGCAACCTTGTGGCTACGAGTGTAAGCGTCGGTCGAACTAAATAATAATAAATAGTAAATATTTCAGGACACATTTTACACAACGTTTTCTAGTCCCAAACTAAGCAACGCTTGTACAATGTATACTAGATAAGTGATAAACATAATTAAACATACTTATCTTTTGCAAATAAAATAAAAATTTTGTAAATAAACTGGAAAAACACTATGTTCATCATACAATATTTCTCCAGTAGTGTGGATCGAACCCACACCATCTGGCGGAAGAGGCAGGGTCACTACCCACAACGCCAATCGGGTCGTCAGTCAAATTCATAAAGATTCTTATTTACGTCATGTTGTTGATTGCGAACGACATCTTACAGATCATAATGCATCGGCAGTCGCTGGCAAGTGAAAAGTTGGTCCACTTTATTACAAGATGGCAACGCATCTGCAACCATACGAGTGTTGAAAATGCCAAGGGGTGGTGATTATCATTTAACATCAGGTGAACCGCCAGCTCGTTTGTAACTTTCTCACATAAAGAAAAGCCTTGGTTACGTAACATCTAAGAACGAACCGGGATAGCTAACGTATCTGAACTTATTCGAAGCTAAAAAGAAGGATGATTTTGACAAGCTGCTAGCCTCCACTGGATGGTGAGGCAACGCAAGAAGAATCGTCGGTACGCTATTAGTAGCTAGTTTTGTTCAGTGTAATGCAGTCAACATTACATGGGATGTATTTTTCAACCCAATTCAAATAAGGAGGAATTTAATTTTTTTGTTACCTCAGAACTTTCGACCGAGTCAACCAATTTTTACGATTGTTTTTTAATTTTAAAGCTGCTGATTCCCATGTGGTCCCATATTAATGTCATTGTTATTGGATCTTGGGCTCCGGAGACACTTAGGAATCTCCTGAAAATCAATTATAAAATGAATACAGAGCGAGATATTTGAAGTCGGTTTTGATTTTCGTTAATAAAATTATGGACTTGTTTTTATAAATTTTTTTTTTATTTATTATATTTAATACATCAACTTACAACTAAAATGTTACGATGCTGTAGAATAAAGTTACCTTGTGTTTTAGTTTTAATTTTATATTTTGTACTTATATGTATTTGTCGCATGACTAAATTTTGAAACTCCAAAGTTTAATTGCCTCTATTGGAAACCGTTTCGACTAGGACCGGAAATAAGAGTATAGAGTAATAGAGAGCGTAGCCATTATTCATGTTCATTAAATTGACTTTTGCAAAATATGAATAAGTTTTGTCTCTTTTTTTTTACTTATTTTGTCGTATATCGAATGCGCTCGGCTCTTCTCGTCGTTTCTAACCGACCCATAAACTTATCGAATGGAGAAAGATCGTTACAATGCTTTGACGCGAGTCTCGATATATCTCATAGACTATTAATGACAATTGTTTACAACTCTTGATTGATTAATAAAACCATTACAGAATTCTTATGACACTTTGATTATTCATTCACGATTCAAAATTAAGATCAAGATATTTAAGTGCTTTTAAATTTTCGAATAACAGTATTTTTCTTGTCAACCTTAGACGCTGGAGGGGCGGAGTGGGGGGGGGGGGGGTGAACATCTTATTTGCAAATAATCGACGTCGTTAGGCTAACGCGCGCCGTGTCTCGAAATCGTAATGCGACCAGTTTCCGGGCGTCATTATGGAACCACCTTTTGGAGTTTCCCGTGAGATTTGACGTTACGCAGATCGTCGAGGCTTTAGGAGCGACATCGCGATAATTGCGTTTATAAATCACGTGCGGCCGCCTAGGGGGCGACTTTCTCACAGAATGGCGGAAGCCGAGGCGGCTTTCGTTGCTTTGGTTCACCTGATGTTAAGTGATTATTGCGGCCTATGTACATCTACACTACCTAATGTTTGGCCGAAGCTCAGACAACCCATTTAAAAGCCCCCACCTCACTCGCCAGACAAAAGGCGAAGGTACAATACTTCCACTTCACGGCGGTCTTCTGTGACGCCGTGATACTTTCCCGGACGAGCCTGCCCATTCGTGCAACAGCAAAAGCTGCTGCGTGGCAGTACCACGGTAAAACAAAGGCACGATACGAAGGCATCCCAACCCGACTGATCTCGCTTTGCGTATGCATTTCATCGATTATAACTAAGCAGAGTCATTCATTCATTCATTCAGTAAGGCTTGTTGCATGTAGCATACGTACAATTATCGTCTTTGTGCCCGGGATAAAGCGACAAGTACCACTCGCAATAAAGTTTGATACTAAATAAGCTTTGTGAAACTTGTTCAGTGCTAGCTACCTCCATCTACGCCGTTAGAGCCAAAAGACACTGGAGTCTATGTCACATATAATTGGTTATGGTTACACGTAACACGCATTTAAAGTACCCTGCTGCTGTTATTGGGACATTAGCAGGAAAAAAATACATAAATACTACAAATACATTAACCGTCCCCCAGAGGGGTTACATTTTGCCTTTACATACTATTTTTGACACTTCCTAATCAAAAGAAATCAATTTTGACGGTGGTACGGCCACGCAGCAGCCTCGGCTGTTGCACAAATGGGCAGGCCCGTCCGGGTAAGTACCACGACCTCACAGAAGACCAGCGTAAAGTGGAAGTATGACAAATACTTTCGCGTTTCGTCTGGTGAGTGAGGTGGCCGGAGCCCAATTTTCAAAAGGTTGTCAATGCATCTGTAACCCTCGGATGTGGCAGATGTCCATGGGCGGCGGTGTTCATTTAAATGAGGTGAACCGTTTGCTCGTTTGACAACTTTTCGCATAAAAAAAATAACGAAGACGTGCTAGTCAATCGTGTCGATATAACACCATTTATAACAATATACTATATATACTACTATATATTTTATAACGTAATTCAGACGAACAATCACTCAATCTTGGTATAAAAATCGTATCTAATCTTGCATTATACAAATTCGCATTATTTTCTATAATCGCTCGCCAAGAAAACTCTCTCGTTTACAATATCGGTGCGATTGTTGCAGCGATATCCGGCGAGGCGGCGGGTCGTGATTAAATTGATACATTCGCAGCATCTCGACCTATTGGGACGGGAGCGGACTTGATTTACGGCCTCAATAACGAGATAAGTCATCGGCACCGGAAAATGAATTGAAGCTCGGTAGCCCAATTATATTTTACCGTTACGCGTGGAATCGAGGGAATTAATTTGATGAATCGTAATGAATTATCTTACCACATAAATAACTAAGCAGGAAGTGTGGAAATTGTAGTTTCTTATTTAAATAACTTTCATTAAATTTAAAATATACATAAATTTGAAGTGGATATTAAAATAGCTTTTGCAAAATATTTTTTGTTACAACTGTTTTTTCTTAAGTGAAACGACAAAAATATAAAATATAAGACTTACAATTTAGAGGCTATTTTTATACATATAATATAATTGAACTCAAAATTAAATTATTGATATCTATATATCTATATATCTATATAGAAAAAAATAAAATAAAAAAATATATATGACAGCCATTTTTTCATACGCATTAAGGCAATCAGAATAAACCTATCTAGATAATTAAATTATATTTTCTATTCCTTATCTTGTCAAAAGTTGAAAACGGAAAAACGAAAAGAAACTTAAAAACTTTAAAATAATAATAAAAATACAGATAACTTTAATCGATTCACGATCTCTTACAAGATGTAAAATCTGTTCCTAAGGTTATAACATAAAATATAGATTGATTCGTTTTCAATATTTTACATTACGGATATTTTATCATCAGATCGCCAAAGCCCCCATCGTGACTATAACCAACAGTGTTATTAAAAGTAGACTTATTAAAACATTAATTTGTACTCCTGCTGACGTTAGCTCAACTCTCCAAAGTAACTTTGTTAGGCCTGGCGAGTGCAGTGGCGCGCGGGAGCACGGCTCTAATTAGCCAAAATGCCCGCAGCGATCGCAACGACCCCCCCCCCCCCCCCCCCCCCCCCCGCTATGCTAAAACGTGGACTCGTGACTGCCTCGAAAGGCGTTAGGCACCGCGCCACGGGCCTTAGGGTCGCCAGGTCGAAGATCAAGCGACCTCACAGATTATCCGGCTCGATCGATACGCGGCGATCGGGGAGAACTTCGAAAAACGAAAGCTCGTGTGGCCACACTAGTTGCGTTAATTTACGGACGTATACATGATTTCGTTTCATTTTTCACTTTGCGTGCTATGTAAGTAAAGTAAAAGTAACGTGACAGCTTATAATTGTCCCACAGCTGGGCGAAGTCTCGCTCCGTGCAGATGGCATAGTCCAGCACGCAACCCCACAGCGGATTGGTGGAATTCACATATGTTCGAAAAATTTTTTTTGTTATTACTAGCGACCCGCCCCGGCTTCGCACGGGTGCAGTGTATTATACATATAAACCTTCCTCTTGACTCACTCCATCTAGTAAAAAAAAACCGCATTGAGATCCGTTGCGTAATTTTAAAGATCTAAGTATACATAGGGCAGACAGACAGCGGGACGACTTTGTTTTATACTATGTAGTGATTTCGAAAATATTAATTAAGGTTTTCCCACAATGTTTTCCTTCACCGCCGAGCACGTGATAAATCAGTATTTAACATTAACAATATCGTTGGTGTCGGCACCCGGGATGAACTCAGGTTGCTCGAGTATATTGTATTACAAGCGAGCGCCCGAATATGAGGTATAGCGGCTCCGTGAATTATAATTGAATCATAAAAGAACTATGTTCATTACGAATGTTTGTGACAATTAATCTGAATAAGAAAATAATTTGATTTTCTTATCAAATGTGAGCCAGTGAAAAAACGTCATCAGTCGCATGAGTGTTCTACAAAATATTTTTTTCTTTTTTTTAATATTTTTTTTTTGAAAAACATTGCCCTTACTTTAGGATGACATTATCCTGTGTTGTAAGGACGTTTTACAAACAAAAAATTTCACGCGGACAAACACCCAGATGCTATCTGGATGCTATATGCATCCAGAACTATCTGTGGGTCACTCAAATAGTTGTACCGTGTGGGAATCGAAACCACGACGCCCTACGCCGAAGCCATCAATTGCGTCACGGAGTCATCAAAAAATTCCATACGGGTTACGATTATTTTCACACAAATTCCTCCATTGAGGTAGAGGAGAGACTCCTCCATAGGGGTAGACTATAACGCTAGGTAGACGCTTTGATGAAAAAAGGCCACGCATTGATTCAATTCACAATAGGTGAAGGAATAAAAAGTAATATACGTCCCATTCTGCTGTAGATTGGACACACTGGCCGTGGAGCATGATAATTTATTCGGCGGCGGTGTGGCGCGGCCCGAAACCACCCCCCGCCCCTCCACCAGCCCCGCAGCTCCACGAACTGGATCCCGGCGGTTTTTTGTGGGGCCCGAGGATTATGGTGTATCGGGCTAAACGCACGTTAGGTAATAGATTTGACACACCCTCAATCATGCGCAGGTCCCGAAGGCGAGGGACGTGAGCGTTTTAAATGATATAAACCCGTATTTATAATTTTAACGGTTTTACACGATCCCACATTTATTGAATTTGAAAGAAGAAAGAAAGAAAAGAGCAAACATTTATTGCACAAATACATAGTAAAAAGAAAAAAAAAATTATGAAACATCACACATTTTAAACACACACTTGTGTGTGGCGTATACGGCAAACAGACCGCACTCAGCTTAATGCTGTTGTCGATACGCTAAAGCGCTGGTTTTTATTTTTTTTTTATTTTATTATTTATTTAAGGCGTTTTGACAGAATTTTATAACACGCTACAATTGTATTTCACATGTTATAATGTTAGCAAGTTCATTTGAGTGTTTATTTTTCTAAATTATTTCACATTATCTGTATTGAGATGGATAGATCTTATCGGGGACCATCCAATAACGAACTCAATATTTCATCCTAAGAATGCCGCACGCAGAATATGCAGACGTCAAAGTGGTTTCCCATTTTATTTATCACCAATTGTTTCGTTGAAGGCATCGCAACTAAATAAAATTGTATAGCCGTTTCTAAAACGATATTTAATAAATCGATGCAACGTTTACTGCTATCTCTGACTTAGACAAATCACTAAAATTATTCAGTGCCTTTTTTTTAATGCCTTCGATTCTAGAAATGAACTTGGGAGTTGTAACAATACAACACACAAGATAACAGGAGAGAGTTGACAGACACGGTTTTGAACGTTAACGAATTCCTACTTAAAATTATTATACATACAAACTCATTTTTTTTGGGTTTCATCCTTAGGAGTCAAAGAACGAGAATTGTGTATTAATTGTCTTCTTCCTAAATGTAAAAAGAGTTCCACAAAGTAAACATGAGCGATGGATGAAGGATGCTATTGGTATTCCGATTAATACCTGAGCTCGACCACCGTACAACGCGACGTACCGCCAATTAACATAGACATACTTGCACAAATAAAGGAAACCTTTACGTTAATGCAATCGCGTGCAGAGATTTCAGACAGGGTACGCATTAAAACTTCAGTCTTATTTCGGTGGGTACATAGTCGCCTCTAACCGCACGGCGCCATAGACTTCACATAGTGTTTCTATGCGACCACTATGGCACTATAAATATATAAATAAGCGATTTTCTAAAGATTTCCATTTACAGTAATGACAGCGTGGGCGACCGTTACACGTTTTGCTCGTATGCGCGCGGGTTCATTGAATTCCGTCACGCAAACAAGTCGGCCGGGCCGTATCAATGTTTACCAACGCACCGTGGCCGTTATCAGATCGCGCGACGTGAGAAGTGTCGCCAGGAGTGGCCGCATCAGGTTCATGAACATCTATGCCAACGGAAAGGGCAACGGTTGGTAAACGGTGTTTGAGTATCGATAATAAGTGCTACAACATTGCCGTGATGGGTCATTGTCCGGACGCTCGATTTTAATTCAATATACTCTGGCAACAATTTGTCAACTTAAAGTGCTGACTGTCTACGTCTCTACTATTACGCACTCAGCGGTGAATGAAAACATCGTGAGGAAACCTGAACATTTTCGAAATAATAACAAAAAGATATGTGAAGTCCGCCAATCCGTAGTGGGGTCGCGTGGTGAACTATGCCTTGGATACCCTCTGTACAGAGAAGGCTTTGCCTTACATTTACAACAGCAATTAAACAGCTAACTCTTTTGGGCGTTCATTGAGTAAATGATCTGTCAGAATTATGCTTTGCACCTCTTTTTGCAGCAAGCCTTTATTTTAAGTGGAGTTTAGTTTTAAGTTTTCTTCAGTGCCAAACTCGATGTCACATATTGCTTTAAATAGCATTTCCAATCAGTACAGTTTTTTAAATACTTCAGTGTCGGACTAATAATAAAAACATAGACGAGACATATTATCTCCTTTACGCAATGGACAGAACTCCTTAGAATAAGAAACCACGTGTCGACACGGGGGCAAAAACGTTAGAAGCAGGCACACAGTCCCAACAGAATTTCATTCCAATTCCAAACGCATATGATCCACTGTAGCATGAATAGACCCAGATAAATCCAGAGTGACACCGCACGCTATCGTTTCAGGTGTTGAAAATCGGCTCTGAATTACTGCCAACTAGACAAACCTGCATTCGTACATACGTGACGCTCGCCACGACAACCGACGCGTTATCTATGACTAATGAAAACGCATATCGTTCCGTATGATATTTAACTACAAGATCATGAGCTATGATATCCATAAGATCAGGAGCTGAGTCCGAAGGGTTAAAGGGAAAAACGAGAAAGCGTGCATACTTCTGCTGCTTGCCAATCTTATGTGTGACCATGGTAGCGGCTCAATGATGGTATGGATGTATAAAATATAAAAGATACGATTTCTGCATCACGCAAACCAAAGACTGAATAGGTTTTGCTATCGACACGAAAAAGATATAAAACAAAAACAAGATACAACTTAAATTCATTGGAAGGTGATGTTCTCGGGAACGGAAGCAGTATTAAAAAGATTTTAACATAACTGAAACCTCCTTCTTCTTTGGAGTCGATTAATTTTATGGACGACGCCCTTAACGTGCATAAATCACCGTCGAAGGCAAAAATTGACGTTCATCAAGCGTTCATTCCACGAAATATCCCTTGAGGGGGATTTCCATTCGAAAGCAGTGTAATAACGTACATAAACATAGCGTTGAAAGAGAGATAATGTATGCCCAGCATGCAATTCGCTTTAATATGAGAGAACGGGTATCACAATCGAGTTTCATGCTCCGATCCAAAGCAGCAAGCAAAAATATGACAATTTTTTTGATGTGAAGAGTTGGCAAGCGAGCAAACGGTTCACCTGATGTATATATGGTAGTCGCCGCCAAAGGACGTCTACAACAACTGAGGGGTTGCTGATGCGTTTCCTCGGTTACCTTTCTCACCAGACGAAACGCGATAGTCTAATACTTTACGTCTTCTGTCAGGCAGTGGTACTAAACCGAAGAGCCTGCTCATATACACTACAGCAGAAACTGTTCTGTTGTGTATATGAGCAGTTAGCTCATTGATGTTAGCTCTACATTGGTTTGATTCGAAACTTTTATGAGTTTTAGTGAAATATTTGCAAATTTTTTCAGCTAAAAAAAAAAGACAATTTTTTTTTATTAAAATTTGTAGAAAAAGTACGAAACGTTTGTCGCCGCTGGGGGAATCGAACCCACGTCTTCGGCATTCAGACCGCGAATTTTACAAATTTTAATGTTTAATCTTAAGTGCAGATTAGCACTATTAAAATTAAAATTTTTAAAAACTTTTAGGATAAAAAAATCAAATATCACGTTCCTAAAACTATATAAGCGTTATTTTAATTAAAAATTGACACTGTCCATTTCTCAGATTGGAATGACGAATATCGCGGATAAGCAAATCGTTCTAATTTTAAAAATGAGAAAATTTCAGTGAGAGTTAGCGACCTCGATAGTGTCGCGTCTCCGAAGAAGAATGCGAGTTAATTAACGAGCTGTAATCCGTAGATTGGTTATCCCGTGAAAACTGAGCATTTCCCTTCGAAACTGTCTAAACGTGAGAGGGCGCAGCTGAATGCCCATATTGAACACGGCGAGGGGAATTCGCGTAGGGCGGACGTGGTTCTGTTAGGCGCATTGCGATGCGGTCCCCATCGCATCTTATGTAGATCGCTGGTAATGAGACGCGTACTGCGAATGCGTAATCGATGTTATCGCGACCAGCCTTTGGAACGGGGGCGCTGTATTCGACTATCAAAAAGCAAATCGATTAAATTCATTAAGTTAAGATTGTTCTCACCTCTTATTGAATGTCACAAGATAGCCGAGAACTTTCACTTGCCAAAAAATCCGGCAAGTGCTTGTATTTGCCTTCGTTGTTTTTACCTTTTAAGATGTTAATCTTTTCGGTAAAATGGAAGTATTTCGAATGTTTATGAAATCTACCAATCCGAGTTGTACAGATTTTGCATTTTATTTTGACGACCCGAATGGCATAGTGGGTAGTGTACCTGCCTTCTGCGTCAGAGGGTGTAGGTTCGATCCCCACTACTGTAAAATCATACACACAATATGTGATGAACATAAGTGTTTTTCTAGTGTCTGGGTGTTTATGTATAATATGTATTTATTTACAAAAGAAAAGTATGTTTAAGTATGGTTATCAGTTATCTAGTACCCATAGTACAAGCATTGCTTAGTTTGGGACTAGAGAACGTTGTGTAAAAATGTGTCCTAATATTCTTTACTTTCGATTTTTCTATCTTATCTTTTAAACGAGCAATTCTTGTATATATATATAATCGGAATCTCGGAAACGGCTCCAGCGATTTTCATGAAATTTAGTATGTGCATAGATTCGGGGGCGAAAAATCAATCTAGCTAGGTTTCATTTTTCAATTTCATAATTCTATTCAATGTCATAATAGCTCGGTCGGTAATCGGGCGGCCCCAAAACAGACGGCCGTGGTTCGCGTCACGATCATTTACACATTTATTTTTTTACTTTTTTTTCGATTCCAGATTATTGCTTTCTTTTAATTTTTTGTCGATTTGTTATTTTTTTCCCTTTTTATTTTAAGTTCTTTCTTTTGTGAAAAACATCAGTTCATATTTTCTTATTATTACGTAGGTAAGATCGAAAAATATTATGCATATTTCATTACTCAGTAATTTGTATCTAAATGTAATTTCCAAAATACACGATTTACCAAAAAAAAAAAACAAACCGAGCAAAGCTCGGTCCTCCGGGTACTTATTCTTTTATGTAAAAAAACGCACAAATAAGTGCACTAATCACCACGGGTCTGAACGTTTGTGTTAGCTATGGTATAACAGGTGCGTAAAATTCCATCAATGTTCCATCGCTTACCCCGCATCCTGAAATATTAATTAAGCTTTAGCGACTTGAAAAAAAGGCGGAAGAAGCGTCTGCTACAAATCCCGCTATATTCGCGAATGCGTCAAGCTCCCGAGGCCGTTAGCGCTCTAAAGCCCGGTTTCTGAAACAGTGATCATCGTAGATGTCAACTAATCGGCTGTCAAATGGCTTTTCAAATGTTATTTGAGTTGTTACGATGATCACTGTTTCAGAAACCGGCCGTAAGCCTAGTCCCCGACTGGCGTGCATCTCGCGGCCCGCCCGCTATCGGCCTGATGAATGAGCGTCGGCCCCACAATTGCACATTAGCCCGGGCGCAGATAGCCGACGCGGCGTACCGTCGTCATTCACCGGCGGCCGGTCTTATAAATCTCCGTATTTATAAACGCGCTTACGTAACGGGCCCGACGCACTATTGCATATTTCCGTCGCGCGTCGCGTTGATATGTTACCGCTTCTCGGTATCGACGCGGCTACCAGGTCATCGCGCTGTGCTCTGGGCGCGTGGTGCATGTTTTAATTATGCGATAAATGAAAGCAATAGTAAAATGGTATAGTGCATTAAAAAAAAGTAAAGTTACAGCCTCTACATGTGCTGATCAAAGGGCCTCCACTATATAGCGAGTATTAAGGCACAGTAGACAGTCCATCACGCGACCCCACTGCTGTTGGATGGGCAAACTTGTACCTTTTTTTATTATTTCAAAAATATGCAGGTTTACTCACGATATTGTCCTTCAGCGCTGATCACGTGTTAAGTTAGCGCTCAAAGTTGCAACTAACAATTTCATTAGTGCCGGCATCGGAATTTGAACTTGGGTTACTCGTGTTTACTGAACTAAAAGTATCTGGTCACTGAGATGTACATGTTGTTGATGGTGCGTTTAGTTCGCATGTAGCTTCTACCTGATCAGGTTCTTGTGATCATATTGACAGGTAAAGAGCTCACGAAAATAATTTTCGTCTGGTTTGGCCAAAACAGCCACGAAGGCTGAAAGAGCATTCGATACAGATAAAAGTCTATCGTAAACCATTGCGTCCGTCGAGCCGGTCAATATGAAATCAAAATATAGTAACAGTATCAAATATATTACACAGTCCCGCGTAGCGTTGTCCTTGGAACAAGGTACAATCGTTGTAAGTACAAATTTTTCGAAGATTCATAAATTATCGCTCACCGATTTCTAAACTTCAAGGGCGTTATGACAAGAAATATTTGAAAGATCTTGCCAGTTACAATTAAAATTGTAAGAAGCTTAAAGAAAACGCATGTTATTATCGTCATTTACCTAATATAAAAAACGACATATATTAAAATCCCAAACAATTCCTAAAAGCAACTTAATCTTTGAGGAGATTAAGCGTGTCGGATGCGAGATAACTTTGATTTCAGGTTTTAATCCTTTCTAACACAGCTTAGTTTATATGCGTAGGTGCTTCCGTAGGGCATGTTATCAAGGCCAATACACCTTAATCCCC